GCGGGCTTTATAACTTTCACTTAGTCATAGGAGCTTTAAGTTGGGAGGCCAGTAACTAGCCCCTGGTTAGTGTTCGGCGATAGTCGAGGTCAAGCCATAAACACTTCGCCCAATGTTATGAACACCGTCATTTAACACGGGGTGACCTCTATCGATCTTATAGTTTAATACAGTCATGGGATCACTGACCACTTTACGCTTATTGTGACAGTCAGTTTTCGGCTTTCTCCACTGAGGCGCTTAACCATGCTAGCTGGAAGCACAATCGCAGTGGTTCTCCCTTTGTGCACCTAGCCGAACAAAGCGGAACGTAGGAGGCAAGCACAGGAGCCGGGCAACCCAACTACTGACCGAACACACAATTCGAAACTAATGCATATAAAGCAATATCCGAGAACATTTTGCCGAGGACTCCCCGGAGTGCCTTGGCTTTTGGTGGGTTCGGCTCAAGTCGCAGCCCCCTGTTGATATTGTCGATGCTTAAAAAGTGTCCGGCAGTGTACTGCGGGATTTATGCTCGGACCCAACACCGAGGTGCAGGTCGGCAGGAAAAATGCCGAACTATGGGTCGAAAAAGATTTCCCGAGCTGGATTATTACGCAGGGTACCTCGGTCAAGAGGATGTCCCGCCTCATAAAAGAAAAGCACACAAATAGATCAAAAGTGACATAAGCTTAAAAAACCAAAAAACTTATGCGAAAACTTTACATCCAAACTAAATCAAGTTTTTTGTGCCAATCCAAAAATTGGTCTTAAAATTAGTTTGTGCTTCCGTCGTGCTTTAACATGACACATCCGATCTCAAGACTTCGAGTGGGTTAGCCTTCGGCTTCAACCTCCTATCCCTAAGGCGGAGTGCTTCTCGGGCCAGTTTACTGAACTAAACTCGAGCGGCTTTAGAGAGAAACCAGGCTATCCTACTACTGACCACATACTCGAGTCGAGGAAGGAGTGATAGAAAAAGACTTTGCAACGAACAAGAAGAAAACACATTTATTATAAAATGGCTCATATAAATTTTAAGAGCCCCTAGTTAACATGGGTAAGAGAAGTGTTTTTAACAAATAACGTATGAGAGCATGGTCGAACCGAATACAGATAAAAAATTTAATACTTTGAGCATAAAAGCGACTTAGCTGGTTGATGTGTTCGGCATTGATGACGCGGTCCGAGCTTACGGTGGGACGAGGTCCCAGCCCCCAAGCCGGTTCCGAGGTGGCAGAGCGAAGAGCTTGACGCTCCGAAGTGACGACAGAGCACGGCCGATGCAGGCCGGTAGTGTGACGTCGAAGTACCCGGCGTGGGTTAATGAAGTGATGACGAAGCCCCCGGTCTAGCCGAGGTGACAGCGCTGCCCAATCCGGATCATTTACATGTGCACAGAAGATAGTGCAAGCCATAGATAATAGTAATAATAAAAAATTAATAAAAGTTGCAAGATTAATAATTTATGCAAAGTGAGTAATAAAAGAAATATGGCCCGTCGTCGAACACCCGACGAGGTAGGACCCTCTTGATGATGTCGAAATCCCCGAGGCAACCGAACATATCGGTATGGCAATTCAATCAACGAGGTGATCATGCGAGCCGATTTATGCCAATTGGGACGACGATGTTGGCTTGCCGAAGTGACCGCGTGACGCAGTCGAAGTCGATCACCTACACACATAAAATAGTGCGGTCCAAAAAGAATAATATAAATATATATAAAATCCTTGCATAATTGCTTTTCGCAAAAATAATTTATTTAAAAGAGATGTGGCCTGGCGCCGAAGTCAATGTTGATGCAGGGCGTCGGTGTGACGCGATGAAGGCGTGGCAAAGCCTGAATTCACAGGCCGGTCCGAGTTCTGGATTCGGCATTCGCCGAACTGTATACAGAAACTGACCGAACCACCACGCGACCGTCGTTAATGTGGCCACCATTTGACAGACCTGTGTACAGATGATGGAACAAACCAGAGTTATAATTCTTCAAAAAAAACAAGGCAAGAAAAATTACTAGAATTAATAGCACCTGATTTATCTGTTGTAGCAACATGAAGAAAGATTACTCCTAAAACTGGGACTAAATCCGCACACCCATTGCCTAATGGGCGATGAAGCGACGGCATGGCGATGCTGGCAAAGGTTGGCTCGCCGAGGCAAAGCCCCCGGTCCAGCTAACGTCACGAAGTTGGTCGGCTGGTGACACCGAAGTCTCCAGAGTAGGCTGATGAAGAGATGGCGAAGCCCCCGGTCTAGGCCGAGGTAAAGGAGTGGGTCGGTAAGGAGACATTGCAGCTGCCATGTCAGCCGAGGTATTGAAGTAGTTCGGCGTGATGGACATCAGCTTGAAGAAGCAACAGTGTAGCCATGCCGACGCTGGTCATAACTTATGACGCGGTCAAAGCCGGATTGATGAAGTGACCGAGCGGCGGCGATGTCGGCGCGCTTGACCCATGCAATCCGTGGGGCGATGGTGTTGGTGATAATTTAGTATTCGTCATGTCGAACTCTTGTTCGGCTTGCCGAGCTGATGATCCGATAAGGTCGGGCTCGGCTCGATGAAGCGACGACCTATCTAGCGCAGGTCGGCGGACGTGGAGTAAAGGCTGGTTTGACACCAGTGTGACGGCGAATATTACCTCCGAAAAGGAGCAAAATTTATGAGCATGTGTTCGTAAACAAAACACAATACCCTACAAAGAGATTCTTCCAAAAAGGTTGTCCAATATCCCGTTCATGACGAAAGATGAACTCGGGTTGGATTCGTATTCGCGCAGAAAACAGATTCGAAAAGTGATGCACTAATCGAAAGGTTTCCGGAGTTTGGACGGTCGGATCGAACTGAAATTTTTAGAGGTGGTAGATATAGGAATTCCGCAGCCGATCAACGGTTGGATATTCCAAAGGACGTCCGAGCTAGATGCTGGACACCACGCTCCAAACTCATCCAGATTCCTATCCAGATTCGACAAGGCTCCGATACATCGGCGATCGACGGAGATTGCTCCATCGGAACGCAACGAAATTTTACAGTGTTGTTGTAGACTCAATTCCGCACAATTCCACTGAAGGAATCGTCAAAGCGGTGCTCGAAGAGGTGGTGGTAGCGGATACAAGCCAAGGTGACCAGTCGAGCCGGTGACGAAGACGCCAACGTTGTAGTTGATCTGCAGGCGAGCCATTGATATTTTGTCGATCACACAACGGAACTCTCAATGGAAGCATCATTGTCGGTGTCAAAACCGGCAGATCTCGGGGTATGGGGTCCCTAGCTATGTATTCTCGGATCAATAGTAACATGAACGAAGGAGACGATGTTTTACCCAGGTTCGAGCCCTCTTGATGGAGGTAAAACCCTACGTCCTGCTCTTGTTTATATTGATGGAGTATCAAGTACAGAGTTGATCTACCGCGAGATCATATGTTGTGGTCTAAAACCTGAGGGTATGATGAATAATGTCATAATGATCTATCGACTAGCCTGGCCTCGGTTTATATAATGTACCGGAGGCCTAGGATAACAAGAGTCCTAGTCGAATACGTTGGTGAAGAGGAGTCCTTGTCTTGATCATCAAGTCTTGTGAAATATTCCTTGAATGCGGCATGGGCTGTCCGAACTGGCCCATGAGTAAACCGCTATGTGGGTCCTTGGCCCGATCCACCTGGTTGGGAGACGACGTGGTGAGTACCCCCTAGTCCAGGACACCGTCAGATGGCGTCAGCAGAAGCCGTTCGCTGTCGGGGTACCGCTCAGCCATTGCTCGTTGGCGGGGGAAGAGGGAAGGAGAGGTGGCTTTTGTGGTGAGACGAGGCTAGAGAAGGTGAGTTGTGCGTTCACCGGCGGGGAGGGCGGCTTTTATAGCCGAAGCGGGGCGGTAAGATCCTGCATCCTGGGCGACGCGTGGCGGGAGCGGGCGGGACGCGTGTCACGGCGCCTTCATTGTGCCCCCCGTGAGGCATCAATGGAGGCTGACCGGCACGACAGCTCGGCAGCTTTGGCATTGATTCCCACGGGAACTGAGGCTAAGAGGACGACGAAGCGGCATGTTGCTGACTCGGCGGGCCCATTCTCGTTCGCCCAAAATCGCTTTCCCCGGCGCCCCCCAGCGCGTCGGATTCGGTCTGGGTCCGTCGACGCCAGTTTCGGCCCAAACCAACGAAAAAGGGGCTCCGGGGCCGTTTTTTGGGCGTCGGCGGCTAAAAGTGACCTGGGAGGGCCTGTTGGGGGCGCGGTCGGAGATGCTCTAAGTTTTATAATTAATTTGTGTACTTTAATTAGTTACATTTAGTTTACTACCATTTCAATGTATCTATAGCAACCATCAAATACTCCCTCCGTTTCTAAATATAAGTCTTTTAAAAGATTTCGCTATAGACTATATACGGAGCAAAATAAGTGAACCTATACTTTAAAAGACGTTTATATACATCTGAATGTAGTCTCTATAGTGGAATCTCTAAAAAGACTTATATTTAGGAACAGAATGAGTATATTTAAGTATTTAGCAACAATAAAAAGCGTATGTAAAGCTTTAAAAAACATGAAATGTTCATAGATATAGATTGTGAGATGATTATATTTAGATATGAAAATTTGCGATTTGCAAGAAACCAACTAACATGCTCTGGTTTTTTCACACAAGTGACGATTTTTCATATTTTCATACTAAAATTCATTTGTGCATTTTACATCACAGAAATAGACGACGTATGGATTATTTTTTTGGTAAAAAAAAGGAGCCGTTTTGTCCTTGCATGACTGCCTAGTGGACTAGAGTGCTCCAGATACAAAAGTTTGGGGTCTCGCGATTTAGTTTGGATACATTTAGTTTCTGGTATCCAGTACGGTATTCATTCAATTGACAATGGCTTGGGTTGAGATAAGACTTTCTTTCATGTGCACAATTCGAGCCCAGAGCTCACTAGAGTACAATCAAATCGAGTAAACGAGGAGTAAATTACTCAGCAATCAGGCATATAACATACTCATGTGAAATGACTCACGGGCAGGTTTATGCTTTTGAAGTTCCTCCATGTTCCCTCTCAACATGCTCCACTAGTAACACCGGATCTTGAAATCCCTTGCTACATTTGGGGCAAGCATCAATCGTCACTTTGCCACGGCTCGGTTGCGAGTTGTTCCCATGGGATTTCTCGGCGTGCTCGATTAGGGCCCCAACAGTGGAAAACCTTGCTGGACACTGAACACATTGCTCCACGAGGCCACCACCACTGCTGCTCGGGGTGACCCCATCCTTAGCCTTCTGGACGGCTTCGCTGGTGGCAATGCTCAGTTTCTGCATTCCTGCTTCTGCTGATGATCTGAAACTTGATGCTGCATTCAAAAGGCTGGAGCTCCACCAGGAAGAACCACTGCCACTGCTGTTTGCGCGTGGTTCAACTTTCTGACTTCTTCTTAGCATGTTGGCAAAGGGGAAGGTAGGTTCCGGTTTTCTTGGGCCCGGGCACTTGTGATCAGGACCAAATCTGTGCTTGAGGCAGTGCTCTTTGCTACAATCTTTGCACATGATTGTGTTCGAAAATGTCAGCTGTTCTCTGCACCCAGGAACTGGGCATTTCTTTTTCTTTGTTGCTCTCTGGTAATTTGATGGATCACAATCAGTATTAACATGAGACTCCCAGGTGATGTTTGCATCTTCATTTGGATTCAGGCGAACTCCTTTAGCACATAGTGGGCAGACGACGACAGTGACATCCTTGTTATTAGCCTTTGGACACTTATGTGATGTATGACTTCGGTGCTGAAGGCAAAAGACCTGAACAATCATACAATAGCCATATTAGCACAATGGCTGGCTGCACTCAGTGATGACAGAACTGTTTAGACTTAAGGTGCCCGTGCATTTTAAAAGGCAAATAATTTCAGAATGCAAAATAAACTGAATTTCCATAAGAATAAATACTACACATTCTGTAAAAAAAATCGAATACAATTAACTCAGCAAAAAACTTCATTCTTCACAAATTACTATACATGACTACCATCCTCAATGCAAATGTGCAATCTTATATTTATATTAAGAAAGTCAGGAAGTGCAGAAGGATTGAACACATTTTGGGTGGAAAGAAAAGGATTATTTATCTCTTATATTTAGTCAGTATTCGAAATTCTGCCACACTTCAAAATTTGTAGACAAATACTTCAGGTAAGCATCACCAGGGTAATATATAGGGACTGCATGTTGCAATGAGAATCAAAAGGGGGGGAGGGGGGGGTGGGGGGTCAGGGGGTGCAACTGAAAACAACACTTGGGACTTGGGTGCTACTGCGGTTATGAATACAACTTTCATCATCAATGCCACCCATACGTGAAAATTGAAAACATATCACTCCTAGTCGATTAAGCTTCTTTTCCTTTTTCCCTCTGTTTCCAGTTTGGTTAGAGTCCAACATTTCTTGATACACCAATAGTTGCTTCTTATTAAGTACAGTAATGCATCAAGTAGTGTGCTTCAGGACACTATTGAAAATCTAATATTTCCTTAATTTTAAAAAAGGCTAGCTCTCATGAAATACATAATCCCTCCGTCCCACAATATAAGATTGCTTTTCAAGCTACCATAGCTTAAAAAATGATCTTATATTATGGGACGGAGGGAGTATTTTATACTTAAACCATGCACACATGTTTGCCTGTTGTTTCTTCAATGATATGCTTTACAAAAGGTTCCTTCTACTTTAGTATATGACAATGGCAGTTACGAACTTAGATCAAGTAGGTTTTACATTCGAGTCCAGAAACATGTGTCCATAAACTAACAACCTAGCACAACGGACTTGAAAATAAATGTTTCATTCAACCAAAGCATTCTTTCGGCATCTCCCAAAAGTTCATGCAGAGCATGTCACTATTGATGAAATACTAAGCAGTTAGCAGTGACGCAATAACTCTACTTCAGCAAGAAAGCGAGCAGAAGCACTGCTTCAAGATGGCAGACGTTGACACCCTATTGCATAGAACTGGGGAAAGAAAGGCTCTTCCCTGCTGCCCAGGCAACAACATGAATGGCTAAGGGACATTGACAATGATAATTCGGTTTCCCTTAGCCCCTCACCATCTCCTGAGGTGAGTTCTTACTTCTTAGTAGGCTGCTAGATCAAAATAAGTAAAACCCAGGCAAGGTCTCCCCGCCCAAACTACTAATCCCAGGATCTACTTCAGGAAACCGCGTCTACAGAGAAGGAACGATTCTCGCGTTCCATAATCCACATAACAATACTCAGACGGGCCCAAGCTCTAAACGCAATTAATCCAATTTCCACGCTAATCAATAGTAAAATTCGGTCAACGAACACAACGGCGGCTCAGAGGGACAGGGGAGGCGGAAACGTACGAAGTCGCATCTGTCGCAGGTGAAGGGGAGGAAATCGATCTGGTGGCAGTCGCCGACGCTGCAGTGCCGCCCCAGGTCAGGGAACTCCGGCGTGCCCATGGCCCGCCGGAACCGCGCGCGCTTCGGGGGATCCGAGCAAACTCGGCGACGCGCGCCCCGTCCGCTCCGACGGCTGCCTCGGTCGCTGCCACCGGCAGGGAAGGGGAAGGGGGAGAAGGTCGCTCGCCCGCACGCGGAAGGGGCACGAAATCGCTTACAAAACGTTTTGACGGTGTGTTTTCGGCCAGGCCCTCGGACTTGTGTGCAGTTTATGCCCGGTACTCGTATGACCGCGGGCCCGTGTTAA